CCAAGCACTGCGGCAGGTTGGCCAGTGCAGTATAAATATCTCACTGGAATAGCTCTGTCCTGCCCATTAGCCCCCCACTTCACGGTCAGCCACCTGTAGAGCTGGCCCTCATCATAAACACCTTCAGCTCATAGCAGGAGGAGGTCAGATGGCAGTACTTTTCTTGTTCAGATGAGAAAACTTAGGTCTTGGGAGATTAAATAGGCTGTGTTAGGTTGAAGTGTGGCTCTGGGAATAGGTCCCAGATGTACTTGCAATCCAGTCCCTGCCTGGTCACCACTTCAGTTTCTTTTTTCAGAGTCCTTGATGTGGCTCCGTATGTACCCTATGCAGTTCCCTGTCCCCACCTCTTGATGTCCACAAAATGTGGTTGATTAAGGATAGAAACAGGTCCTATTTGACTTCGTATTCCTAGCTGACGTGGTGCTCAACTTAGCAGCATTCTGAGCACACTCAGTAGGGGAGTGAATGAATGAATGAGTTCTAGTAGCATTGAGTCACGCCAAGGAACTGGTTATGCTAAACATACCTGCTATTCAGATAAACACAAAAATATTTTTTGAAAAAGTATGCATTTTGAAGGATTCTTCAATACTTGTTAATGAAAAGGGAATCTAGACCAATCAGAAAATAGTATAGGAGAATTTGTGTGATCATTGTAGAAATTAGTGTCTTGATGTATATTTTTAAACAATTATAGGAAATCTGGCTTTAAATACATTAAGATTTTTGTGAAATATATGCAGATAGCATTTTATTGTTTCTTTTTAAAGCTTAAAAATACAAGTATATTTTCTGTGTAGTTGGTGAACATGCCACTGAATTTTAAAGTTGCGTGCCTCTGTGCAGTTAATGAGATAAAAAGCTTTCCTGCCATGTGTAAACAATTTCCCTTTTTTTCCTAATGTCTATGAGCTTTTTAGATTATAGTGTTTCTTTAAAGGCATTTACTATTCTAGTTAAAAAGATATTTTGTTCTAAGTCAATATTTAGAGAAGCTTAGAATTAACCTCCCCAAAATCCTTTTGGTGTGTTCAGACCTTATTGCCTTGTTTTGTTTTTGTTTGAGAAGTTTGGTCTGTTAAAAAAAAAAAAAAAAAAAGCATGTTTTTCTCATTATTCCTCAGGAAAATGTCCAGGGAGCAGGATTATTTATTTGTGTTATTAAAGAAGGAAAATTGGAATGGAGTTTGGAGTGTCCTGCCCCATCAACATTTGTGAAGTTTCTAAAAGACAGGCATTAATATAAAGACATTTTGTTTCTTTTACGTGATTAAAAAAGAATTTGACCCTTGTTCCTTAGTCACACTCTGATGCATTTAGGGTGAAGGAGTGTAATGTCTGCAAGTTTTTCTCATATAATTCCCCCCAATTACAATGATGTAACTATGTATATCATTATAAAATTATGTATGACAAATGTCGGTGAATCTAAGTGAAGAGTATTCATGAGTTCTTTGCATATTCTGACAACTTTTCTGTAAGTTTGAAATTATTTCAATTTAACAAGTTAAAAAACAACTTTGTAATCAAATGTTGACTTGGAACCATAGATGATTTAAATGAGAAAGCCTCTTTATTGCCCTGTTTTCCATACATTATGATAAGATGTCCTGCAACCCGATTAAATGTGTTTTAAATCCTATTTCTAAGTGTGCTGATGAGTTTGTGCCGTCATTCACGTTATTTCACATTGCTCCCTTTTGGGCTGGTGAGAAAGCGCACTACACGTGAAGATGTTTGGCAGAAGGAAAAGTCTTACTGTGCAGTTTCTACTTTGGTTAAATTAGAGCATTCAAATTTTAGTTAATCTACTGGGAAACTGAAGGAAAATAGAGTTGTTAATGTCGGATGTGAACCTTTACCAGAAAGTTTACTTTTTTTTTTGAGACAGGGTTTCACTATATCACCCTTGGTAGAGTGCCGTGGTGTCACAGCTCACAACAACCTCAAACTCTTGGGCTTAAGTGATTCTCTTGCCTCAGCCTCCCAAGTAGCTGGGACTACAGGCGCACGCCACAATGCCCAGCTATTTGTTGTTGTTGTTGTAGTTCTTGTTGTTTAGCAGGCCTGGGCCAGGTTCAAGACCGCCAGCCCCAGTGTATGTGGCCGGCACCCTAATCGCTGAGCTACAGGTGCCGAGCTAGCTTTTTTTTTTAATTAAGTCCTAAATACATAGATCATGTATACATTAATGCATTTATGAAGTACAATGTGCTGATTTCATATACAGTTAGGAACATTGCACTGGTTAATATATACCTCATCTTGTTTACTTAATTCTTGTGTTAAGACATTTATACTCTATACTTAATAGATC